CGGCGTTCCCACTGCTCCAGGAAATCTCCAGAACTAGATGCAGATCCCATTTCAGGGACATTTCAGTCCTAGAATTCATACAGAGTGAAATTTCATAAAGCCCGATTTTCATTTCTGATGTGCGTGTGCGCATGTATCTGTGTGCATGTGTGCACATGTGTGCATGTAGGTGCGTGCATGTGTGCGTGTGGGGGTGCATGTGATGGCTCCTAATGAAGGACCCTGATGCACCTGTGTGTGGGAGGAGACGCTGTGAGCAGTGCAGCAGAGGCAGGAGCAGTCTCTCTGTGCGTGCCCACGTGGGCAGATATCACTGCTTTTTGTGTCTGGACAATCTGGGTTATTTTGAAGCAACAGGGCTAGAGGAGGCCATTTCCATAATCCAGCCAAGATGCTACAATAGTTTCTCAATAATATATATGTGTGTGTATATGTGTATGTGTGTATATATGTATATATGTATATATATGTGTATATATAAGAAATCAGCCCCCCAGAGGGGATGGCCACGCCGCAATCCCTTCTCCTCCATTCTCCTCTCGGGATCTTGGGCACGCACACACACGCGCCCAGCGTGAATTTTAAGCCACCTGGTCCGGGACGCGAACCGCGGTCGACTATGTGGGAGTCCAGTGACATAGCCATTACGCTAACTGCTGGTTCCCAAAAATCAATATTTTGAAAGTGAACTAGAAGGAAAGGAATGTGAAGGGGTGGGAGGGAAGGAAGGTGGGCGGAGGGAGGGAGGGAAGGGAGGACAGGCAGGAGAGGGAGCAGCTGGGCGGGGGCACACATTCGGGATACGTCCCTCCTGCAGGTATCAGACCTGACCCTTTGCAGGCCGAGAACTTGTGAAGAGCAGGCACAAACCGTTTCCAGAATGGACACTAGGTGGAGTCTGGTGGAGTGAGTTGTAAAAGTGATCACTGGTCCTACGAGAAAGGAAGGTGTCTTCCCGTAGTGGCCTGGCCCTGGGCACGCAGGAAGGGCAGGGCGTCCCAGCCCCCAATCAGAAGCTTTTGTACCGGGACACTGCTAGGAGACCAGGATCAGCTCCCTTGGGCAATAGCCTTGTGGCTTTACTTTAAATCTGGCCAAAGTATTGCAGGATCAGAACTCGGAGGCATTCTGGAAAGTTCTTATTTAGTGGTAGTTGGCCAGATTTAAAATAAAGCCAAGAGGCATTTGCCCAAAGGGGGCTGAGGAAACTGGATTTTAGCCACGGGACAGTTAACTTTTTCATTTACCTAGATAGTCTCTTCGACAGTGGCCAAGTTAACTATTAGCCAATTTAGTTCACTTGATGGAAAAATTTTCCTTAAACATCGCGGTGTCATCAAACTTTCAGTCAACTGATACTCTGTTTCTCGGCGCTGCTCTGGGGTCTTGGGGCAGACCAAGCCTGCATGTGTAGGGCAGGGGCTGCAGGAGGGGGAGGACCTGGGGCCCCCGACTGGGTGAGCCCTACCCCAGGGAAGAAGGCATCTCGTGGGTTTACCACTTCACTGCGTTGCAGTCCACATTCATGAACCCCGTCTTCACTCACCGTAGCCCTGGGGGCTGTACCCAGAGAGCTGCCCCGCTGTGAATTGTCCCCCGTCCAACCTACCCAAGATGGGCATGGAGCCCTGGGACAGTCTCTGATCTCGTCTGACATCCTCTCTTCTTAAAAACAGAAAACAAAACAAAACAAAACAAAACAACAAACCCTTCCAATGCACGGAAAAGGTGAAAGTGCAGTGCAATCAACATACACTCTTCCCACCCCATTTGCTTTATCCTCGCAAGCAGAACTTCTTGGAGAGCCGATCCGCTTACAAATTGGTATAATTATCATGATATATTTCACCTCAAACTGTATCACCGTCATATCTCCTATGTGACTACAGGACAGTGCAGAAAATAAAGCGAATTCAATGACATCATCTATTATACGGCCCATACTCCAAGTGTTTCAGAAGTATCTTTTGTCATTCAATTTTTCCAAACCAGGAAGACATTCATGTTTAATTTCACCTCTTTTTAATTTCCTTCAGCATCAAGCAACCCCTCTGCCTTCTTCCCCCGTGGTGGTGCCAGTTTGAAGAACCCAAACCAGTAATCCCATGCAATGTCCTGATTCCTGGATTTGTCAGATTGCTTCCTCCTGCATAGATTCAGATGGAAAGTTCTAGTCAATACCACAGAGGCAACGTTGTGTGTTTTTTCTGGTTTTGCCATAGGGTACATGCACTCGCCAGAGAGACAGCGAGAGAGAGAGTGAGAAAGCACCCCCAGGGAGGCTGGCCACGCTGCAGTCTATTCTCCTCCATCTCCTCTCGGGATTGGGGACACTTTTGGGGATTTTGCCCAGTGTGATTTTTTTTTTAATTAATTTTTTTTTTGGAGAGGTTTTTGCTATAAGGCACACGCGCTTGCCAGAGAGACAGAGAGAGACAGAGAGAAAGTGAGAAATCATCCCCCCGGGGAGATAGCCACACTGCAATCCCTTCTCTTCCATTCTCCCCTCGGGGTCTTGGGCATGCACGCACACGTGCCCAGCATGAGTTTTAAGCAACCAGGTCTGGGATTCGAACTGCAGTTGACTACATGGGAGTCCAGTGACATAGCCATTACGCTAACTTTTGGTTCCCCCAGTGTGATTTTCAAACTTCTGGATCCAGGACTTGAACCAGCACCATAACTACCACACCACCTGCTGGCCCCTTGTCATGTGTCTCTTGCTGTCTACATGGGAAGGCCCAAGCACCAGGCCAACTCGCTGCTGGTGTTGATGCCTCCTTTGATCCCAGGGGAGGAAGCACTTCGGGGTCTCTGCGTTGTAGCAATTAGACTCTCCCTTGGCCATTAGAGAGCGGCACAGAGTGGCTGGGGCCGGGGGTGCCCTGTGATTACTTCTAGTCACGGTTCGTGCTTGAATCACTCATGGCCATTGGTGGCTATTCCACTTCACTCGCTGATTCTAGCATCCTTCTACGTTCGATGGCTACATTCTTCTGGGGAGACGAAGCGTAGTACTTTCCCCTTTCTTCTTTTCTCGCTTGTTGAGTGTTATCATTATGGACTTGACCGCCTTTAAATTCATTACCATCACAATTCATTTAGAAAATTATTTATTTTCAGAGAGTGTGGTCCTGGGTAGTGTGTGTGTGTGTGTGTGTGTGAGAGAGAGAGAGAGGTCACCCCCAATGAGGCAATGTTCACACTGCAGTTCTTTTCCCTCCATTTCCCCATCCCATCAGGATTTGGGGCACAAACACACATGTGCCAGGCATGTTTTTCAAGCTGCCAGGGCTGTGACTTGAACCACAGTTGGCCATGTGGATCTGGCTCCCTCAGCACAGCGCTTAATCACCGCCCCTCCCAGCCAGCCAGTGGTTCTTTTTGATGGGTAAACTGTCCCAGCTTTGATCAGAGCAAGTCATTTCTTGGGGGCTCCGGTGCTCTTTGGACGGGACCCAGTTGGTCGTTGAGCAACTCCTAGACTTCAGAGGCGCCAAGTGTCCCGGGCACAGCTTGTGCTGCTCCGACCTGGAGTCAACCATTTCCCCGAAGACCCCGTTCTTCTCTCTTCCTCCCTCCTGCCCTCCGCCCCTTCTTTTTTCTCTCTCTCACTGTGGAATGGTTTTTGGAAACCACACTCTGGCAATGTGTGCTCAAGGCTGCTGCAGGGTCCCTGCTGGTAGGCCTTTCCGGCAAGCAGGGAGGGGACCAGGCGGTGGTGAACTGCTGGTGCAGCTGGTCTCACATTCAAAGTGTCTTGGGTTCTTGTCCCGGGACTTCCCTGAGCATGTCAGGGACAGGTGTGACCTTGGCCAACCCCATAATCTGGGTTGGCCAAGACTTGGGGTAGGTTGTGGCATGAGGACCCTGTTGAGGATGCCTCTCTCCATCTCTCTGTCTCTCTATCTCTTTCTCTCCTGGAAGAAAAAAGAAGTGAAGAGTCAGGATGTATTTCAGCCACAGTTGATGGCCCATGCTTCTTGCTAAGGGATTCCTATTCCACATCTCTGTCTTGTTTCCTCCAAAGAAAAAACCCTGGTTCTCAATCACGTTGATATTATTGCTCATTTGCTCGCCCCAATGCTAACGCAACATACTTCCAGAAATTACAGCACGATAGGCTACAGATCTGTGTAGTGAACTTGGAGACCTTGCAGGTGTTCTGCCCTAACTTAGCTCTGTATGTGTAGAGTATTGTGTTAACACTGGAGTAGTTACCTCCTCTGTGGGGTTTTGTGCTGTCAACTGGATACAGAGTTAGAAATACTTGTTCCATCGTGTGGGCTATTGTACTGTTTCCATTTTAAATCCTCTGGTTCTTAAATATGTAAAACATGAACATGGTCCAAAGATAGACTAAGCACACAAACTGGGAGGCGCTTGACCCCTAACCGCCGACTCCTCCCCCGCTCCTACCCACTGCTTTGAAGTTACAATTTTCAACAGTTTCTAGTTTATCCATCACTTTCAAAAAGTGTATTTAATTAAAAAACACTTGACCTAAAGATGCCATACTTTATACAATGTACAGTGTTTACGCACACACATATACATGTACATCTATGTTTTCCAGTACTTGCGTGGTTTCATTTCACTGACTTTCTAACCCACTTGGCATTTACTTCCGTGTGTGGCATGAGCTATGGAGCCAGTTTGACCTTTTCGCAAAGGGTGATCCAGTTATTTCAAAAAGCGACCCTCTCCCCCGGCGTTCATTTTTTACCTTTACAATGTCCTAAATTCCCGTACACCAGGGGTATGCGCAGTTACTCACGCTCCAGAGAGACTGAGAGAGCCATTGCGAGATGCTCCACCGTCTCGCAGGGAGGCCCCACCTCCAACACACAAGAATGTCCCTTTTCAGGGCAGCTTGCTCATCCCACTCTAGTCCAGGTATTCTTGCATATTTATTTATTATTTTATTGTAGAGGTTTTGGATTTAGGGTGAGTGTGCTCACCAGAGACAGAGACAGTGTGAGGGAAAGTGAGAAATCACCCCCAGGGGGATGGCCATGCTGCAGTCCCTTCTCCATTCTCTTCCTGGGATCTTGCGTCGGCAGGCACCTGCACCTGACATGAAGTTTAAGCCGCCAGTCTGGGGCTCTAAACGTGGTCAGCCATGTGGGAGTCCACCGATGTAACCACTATGCCACCTGCTGGCCCCTCTCGCATATTTGTTTTTCCATGAGGACTTCAAAATTAGCTTCAGAATATTTCTATGGAAACAAATGTCTTGGTATTTTATTGGGGTTCCACTGCCCAGATCTGTACGAACTCTTTAACTACAGAAAGTGACACTTTCTCAAACATATACCTCTCTTTCTTTTTAAGAGGTTTTTGCCACAGGGCACATGTGCTCACCAGAGAGAGAGAGAGAGAAAGAGAGAGAGACAGAGACAGTGAGAAGGAAAGTGAGGAATCACCCCCCAGGGGGATGGCCACACTGCAGTCCCCTCTCCATTCAAATTTGTGCTCAGCGTGATGTTGAAGCCACCGTGTCCAGGACTCAAACCATGGTTGGCTATGTGGGAGTCTGGCGACATAATCCCTACACCATCTGCTGGCCCCTCAAACATACACCTATTAACTTCGGGGATAATTGATTTCCTTTTGTCATCAAAGTGGGTGAGGTTTTGTGGCCCTGATTTGGGCAGGCGGACAGCCTCCAGGTTGAGCTCTGTCTGCGAAGCTCTGCCCTTTACCTGGAAACCACAGGTCCACAGGCCCCTTTCTTGTGGCACGAGAAGTGTCCCACCTTGCCGGGATTTGCTGGTCCACGCTCACGCCTGCTTAGTCGCATGTCACACAAGCACGGGCAGGAAGCAGAGCACGGTCGCCCTGTGCAAGTCCTCCAGATGGCCCTTTCTTTCCAGAGACGTGCGGGTGATTGAGCTGTAAGCGAGTGGCCGCATGAGGAGGGGCTCAGCCACCTGGACAATGCCCGTGGTCACAGTCTCGCGACGTCTTGAATTTGATGGCTCAGGCTGGTGGACCTACATGGACTCATTTCGGGAGGTAAATAATGGAAGCAATCTTGTACTTCTTCTGCAAGAAGCTGACTGCCCAAGAAGGAGGCATGAACACTTTCGCCAGGAATAGGAAAAGACGGAAGCCACAAATCTATACCACTCGGCCTGGTCCCCGGGCCGGAGCTGCCCATCCTCCTGTGATGACATCGTGTCCCTGCCAGTGGGCTCCACCTGCAGCAAGTGCTCATGGAAACGCAAACCAAGCCCAAGACACAGCTTCCTCAGCTCCACCCTCTTACTGACAGTTCCACAGCCCTTTCTAGAGCTGTTGGCTTCCCCTTCTTAGCTGCCAGGAGGGTCCCACAGGAAGAACAAAGCTGTGACATGCAGAGGCCCTGAAACAGGGTGACCACGCAGCAGCGTCCAGTCCGTCAACGAAAACCGACCTTGTCAAGGGGAAAGTGGCAGGAGAGGAAGGGCCCTTGCCAGTCAGGGACTGGCCTGCAGCTCTTCACATCATGGAGCCCTAGTGGGTTAGATGAGAAAGCAGATGCCAGGCTTGCAGAGGGCTACCAGTGTGAGCCAGTACTCTGACCCTGCGCAGTTATTCTGTGGCTGTCATTACAGCGCGCAGGGCGTATTCTTGGAAGGCATGACCCACGTCACCCTGCACTGCCACCAGGCTAAGGCTCTGCGGTGCAGGTCCCAGAAACAGTTCTCTCCCCTGTGATAGTAACTCTGCTTGCAAAGCTGCATTAGAGAATATTATTTGCCTTTCCATTCAGCAAAAGTCCGGATGGCTGTGTGGACTGGTTCTCCTTGGATCGGGTTATCCTCCTTGTGAGTGATGAAAGATGAGCTCGGTTTCAAAACGGAGTGCTGTGTTATAATAATTTGCCTGGATTCCCAGAGCGTCTTTTATCTGACTTGATAACAATGTTGTTCATTAACAGCCTTTGTTAACTGATAACCTAAAGCGGTAATGTGATACTCATAAGCAATTTTCTGTGTGTAAGATAGAATAAACCATCTTGTAAGGGATCTGTTAATTGATTTGCTTCTTTTAGCAGCATTTTAATTAAGACATCTGGTTTGAGAATGGCAGAAATGCTTATGAGCTGAAGGCGAACACCTCTGGATTGTATTTTAGGCCTGCCACAGAGCCACGGGGCCCCTGCCCCACCCACCTGTGTTTTTCCGGCACTGTGGCCGGGTCCTGGTTTTGTGCTGGCCCCTTGTGCGGTCCTGTGTGGGAGCAGAAAGCACCATGCTACAGACCGGTGTCCTCTCCCCAGAGGGCGACGCTCGATGTCATAGGGAGGCAGAATGGGCAGAGGTCCCGTGGCCATCAGTTCTCCCTGGCTCATCCCCCAGACCTAAGCCCAGTGGCTTCCTTCTGGAAATCCTTCAGGTCCTACTGGACACTCTCCAAAGCCCCTCTTGACAGACCTTGTCCGCTGGAGGAGCTCTTGGGGGTGGGGCTTCGACGGGCCGTGGCTCCTGGAAGTGTTTCCGAATCAGCCTCACATCACTGTCTGCTTTGCGGTCCTGAATCCGACCGTTCTGCCGTGGTTGCTTCACCCTGTGGTTTGTGCACGCTAGCAGACCCAGGGACTGGGATAAGCCCTACTCTCCCAGCCCAATAGGCCCTCGGGCCCCCAAACACATGCAGTCCTCCCCCAGCAGCAGCCCACTGCAGCATGGACAACACCAGGCCCAAGGGGAAGGGGAAGATGACCCTCTGACATGAAGGAGCAGTCATCCCCCCTGAGTGCAGAGCTGCAGACGTGGTAGCTGCGGCTCAGGGCTTCAGACCTCGGCACCTGGAGGCAACGGGAGCATGGTGAATACATTAAGCATCATCTCCAGGCGTATCAATCTGTGTATCTAGAAATTAAATAGAAGTTACAGTGAGTCTATAAAATCCATACACAAAAAAACGAAAAGAATGTGTGTACCTGTGTACTCCTCGTATGCGTTAACTGCACACATATACAATTCTAAAAAATACTGAAGAGTCAGGATGTACTTTTCTGTTCTTCTATGCAAAAATGTGTCCTGACTTCTGGATGACCCAATATATGGAGGTCCAGAGGAGTAAAACAACATCCTTTTTCAGCATTGAATTTGGGGAACAGCTGAAAGGCAGACAAACAAGCACGTAAGTGCAGTGGGAAATACGAGGGTTATTGTGCCTTTCCAACGACTCATGACCACGTCAACGTCCCTCTGCAGCCTCCAGGGTCCTGTTGGTGTCCTCGCCGCAGCCCAGGTGAGGGGCGAGTGTGACTGGGCTGGAGTGGTGGCGGCGCAGGTGCAGAGGATGGGAGTGTTCAGACGGATTCAGAGGAAGAGAAGCTAAGACTTGCTGATGGGTCGATTCCAGGCAGGGTAAGAACAGAAGGACTCAGTGCCCCTTCCAGGTTTGGGAGCCATTGACGAGATGTGGAGAGTCCTAGGCTGCTGGCCCAGGAAGGTCTGCTGCTGGGACCCTTGTGGGACAGCCGGCCTGGCAGGGCTGAGCCCCTTTGCCCCTGTGCTGACAGGGCTCCTGGCAGCAGAGGCTGAGCTGAGCAGTCTGGCTATAAGAGGAGGGGCAGTGGCCTGTGACAGGAACAAACGGAGCCCGGGCCGGACTGCACTCGGGCATGGCCTGCTGACTGGTTCTTTTCCCTTCTGAGTCATTTGTCATAATCTCAGACTTGTCATATTAATTAACCATCCTTCAAAGAATATGGTTTTTCATAAGCATGTTATCATCAGATGACAAATGAGTGACCCCTCTCCCAGGCTGTGTACACAGACGCAGGGACGCCATTCGGGCCTCGCACAGCTCGCATGGGAAGTCTGAGTATTCCTTGGTTCCTGGTCCTGGAATTTCAACTGACTCGTGACTTTTTCCTTTTTCTTTTTGAGAGAGAGAGATTTTTTTTATAGGGCAAGTGTGCTTGCCAGAGAGAGACAGAGAGAAAGCGAGAAATCATCCCCCAGGGGAGATGGCCACCCCACAATCCCTTCTTCATTCTCCTCTCGGGATTTGGGGCACGCGCACATACGTGCCTGGTGTGAGTTTAAGTCACTCAAAACGCTGTGATCCCCAGCCCCGGCTTTTTGGTCAGCTAGGAGCATGGGCACGTGCCCCTAGGCCTGGCCTGGGAGGGTGGTCCAGGAACCAAACTCCAGCCTCCATGAGGGCCCGTCCTCACACAGGCAAGCCCTTCCACTTGTATGACCATGATTGGGCCAGACTGTCCTTGCTTGGATGACCTTAGCAGTGTTGAAGAAGACCGGTCAGGCGTCTTGTAGACTGCCCCTCAACTGGGATTTATCTGATATTTTTCTCATGAAGATAAATTTCTTTTAAGCTAAGTTTAACCTAGGATTGATTGCAATCGTTCAAAAGCCGGTGCTCACTAATCCTGATTATTGCACAGGTAACACCATTAGCCGGAGTGCGGACCACACCCACCTCCACCGGACCTGGGCAGGTTTAGTGAGAAGTCTTCCTGTGCAAATGGGGAGAGGCAGGTGTCTCTCTCAGGAGCGAGGGCAGCTCTGGTTAGCATCACACCACCACCGTGTGCCTGAAGTAGCAGCAGAGACTGGCGGCTCGGGCCACGCCAAGCCAGGATAGAGGCCACACGGATGTCCTTCACCTGCCTGGGCCGGCCCGCTGCCCTGCTCATCCTGCGCACAGCCAGGGAGCTCCGGGGAGCATAGGCTGAGCTCTCTGGGTTTCTGAGGTCTAGGGAAGTGGATCAGAGCTGCCTATTATTTTTCCTACTGAGAAAGAGCTATAACAAAGCCTTCACACACAGGGAGATGGGGACGCCAGCAGGTGGCATAGGGGTTACATCAGTGGACTCTCACATGGCCAACCACAGTTCAAGTTCAGACCTGGTGACTTGAAAGTCACACCAGGTGTGTGTGTGTGTGTCCCCAAAATCTCAGGAGGAGAATGGCAGAGACAGGAGTGTGGCATGGCCCTCCCCCTAGAAGTGATTTCTCACTTTCCCTTTCACTATCTCTCTCTGTCTCTCTCTGGTGAGCACCTACGCCTTATGGGAAAAAGAAAAGCAAAAAAGAAAAGAGAAAAGCCTTCACCATATGGTTCTGATTTTTTCTCCTTTCCTGAGTTTAAATCAGGAGAGGGCAACAAGTTGCGAGTTGAGCACAGCTGCTGACTGAGGGGGGAGCCGAAACCGAGTCTGAGAACCCCCACGTGTGCTCTGACGGGCGTTTGCGGCCAGCAGCGAGGGAGGGCCCTACTGTCGCTGCCAGGGCCCTCCCCGCAGACTCCTGCCCACCCTTTCAGAAGGTCCCCCTGCTGCTGTTACAGAGGATGCGCCTCTCGCCTCTGTCTAACCCCAGATCTGGCCACAGCGAGGACTCCCACTGCCCCAGCCAGCCTGGACCTGGGGCCACTGAGTTCGGGAGTAGAGTGGAACTGGAAGCTGTAAGGAGATGGCTGGTCTCCGATGGAAAAGGAGGTGACAGGACCAGAGAAAGCCTTCTGCATTACCGGAGGGTGGCAGGCTTGCTTCCTTCGTCACACCATGTCTGGCCTCCAGGCCTCGCATGTAAGACACGGTTGTGCTCATTTTATCAGCCCCGTGACCACCAATGTGCTTCTCATGGAGGGACTTGTGCATTCAGTGCGGCCTAGAGTGGGCTCCCACGCAGCCGCCCGAGGTCTAACTCCTCCGGGTCTAATGCTTCCTGTCTGTGTGTGGCCTCTGACATGTGACTCGACTGCATTTCAGTTTCCTCATCTGTACAACAGGGACAATGGCCACGAAGGGATGCCAGGGTTTCCCCACTGAGTTATAGGACACAGGACCCTTTGAAGAGTGTCTGAAATGTGTAAATGTGCCATAAATGTTCCCTGCTTTAATGGGTGGTCTAGACACTGTGGGGAAAACACAGAAGGCAGAGAAGTAGGTCTTCCTCAGAGGGTTGCAGGAAGCAGGTGAGCAGCTGCTCTTCTGAGGGAGGGACAGGGTGTGTCAGAGCCGGGACGAAGAGAATTGCCAGCTGCCGGAGATTCCACTCTCAGCCTGGACATGAGGTGTTTGTCAGCCAGGGAAGAAGGCAGGGCATTCGACCCTTGAGGTGCCAACAACCAAAGGGCAAAGGAGCATGGGAAGCTGCAGAGGATGGGGACACTGCGGTGCCCAGAGCGTCAGCTGAGGAGAGAGGGCCGGGCAGTCCGTGGTGCAAACAGGGTGCTGACTGCTGTTCCCTGCCACTTGGCTGCCTGAACTTGAGAAGCCATTTCCTTTTTCACAAAGCTAGTTGCAGAAAGATAATAAGTGACTATATGAAATGGAAGTTCGGAGCCGTGAGGAAGAACCCAGAAGGGTCAGAACCCTGTAACACGGGAGGTCTTCTCCTGTCTGTCACCTCAATTTCCTTCTGCGCGTCGTTAATCGGTATCCCAGAAGGAAGGAGCAGGCAGCATGAAAAGGACATATCAAAAGGGAGAAGAAAACGAATTTGGCTACAAAAAGATACCAGGCCTTAGCTTAGTAAGGGAGCATCTAATGAGAAAAATACAAAGCCTACTGCACCCATAAAAATCCAGGTAAAATCGGAGAGTACGAGAATGAAGCGAACGAAATCCATTGCAGATAAGGCTGTGACGAACACTGGACCTCGCGTAGGCAGGCCCGAGTGAGAGAAGACAAAGGAAGAGCAATATCTCCCAAATTCTCCACCTCACTATGCCCATGGTTTTCTGGACCTCTGCCCCCCCAAAATGACTATTCCATATCCAACAACGCAGTGAACGTACTGTCCAAAAATGCCTTCTGAAAGAATGACTAGAAGATGAGCTTCAGTAGAATGAAGAGTGAACTTAAGAGGAGTATGTGAGGAGACCAGTAGAGTTTAAAGTGAATCTTGACTTGAAGATAGCAGTTCTCATACTCTAGATATACTAATCCTATAGATACACTAATACTATAGATACATTAATACTATAGATGTACTCGTACGACAGCTATACTAATACTATAGATATACTAATACTATAGATACACTAATCC